AATGACGGTACTTGGCAAGCGCTCAACACTGAACGCCACATTGTCTATCGACAAAGGTCGGTCGGCAAACAGCAAACCAAGAGCATAATCCACACACCGCCAAGCGCTAACAACTACTAACGACCGCTGTCGCTGAACCTTAGCGCTAGCATCCGCACATAGACGCGTTTGTTGGTATTGCTGTGCGTTGGCGTGTTAACAATATCTGCATATTTGCATTTGACTTGCGCCACGACGTTAACTTGTTGCTCTAAAGGCATTTGCGGTGCTGGCCAAATTTGCTTAACTCATTCACGGTGAGCCCAGACGCGCGGAGCAATGCACTCTTTCCAAGCGCACGCTTTTCTGATTCAATTACACACGCCAACTGCACAAGTTATCGGCCGTTGGCCAAAATGCGAAAGTGGAAACAGTATACCAACGGTAATGCACAGACCTACAAACATAGAAAATAGTGAAGAACAAAGCAAGTATAGGCGGCAAGAAGGGAATGCTTCGAGTAGCGCGAAAACTTCAGCACCAAATTTTTGCTAAACTCACAACTTTCAAAGAGAAAATAGTGAGGGAGTTAATTAAATTGGGAAAAATAATTAATTAAATGCGCAGTAAACTAGAATTTCTGAATTTATTAATTTTGCTTTTTCTGTCTGAATAATATTTAAAAAATATTATTAATAATTTTATTATAACCAAATGAGTTTCTTAACCGAAAGTCTTCTATGTTTTGACGTCGAATTCTAAGCAGAAAGTTTTTTTAGGGCTTGCAGTTACCCCTTTCGAGCCACAGAATGCAAGAATCTAAAAATAAATGTAAGCTTTCTATATGACGCAATCGACTACGCTCTAAATCCATATCCACCGAAATTTTAGCGATGATAATAAAAATTTAAAATACTATCAAATATGCATAAAATGTTCAACTATTTATGTCAGCATTACTTTATGATTATCATTACTTTCAAAACTGGCAAGTTCACCGTTATGTCCAGCAATCTTATCAGCGCAATTTTTGTTTGTTAAGTACTTAAGTACAAAAAGGACAAAGAAAAACAATTACTTTAGTTGAAATCTAATATTCCAATTAATATTGCAGCTAGCTCTGGAAATTGATTTAATAGCGTATAAAGATTTTTTGTTTTCCCGTATGATATTTTCGAAATATTGTGTAATAACGCACTTGAGTGAATGTTGAACAACTATTTGCTGCTTTCATTCTAAATGTATATCATTATAAAGCCAAAACATATTTGAAAACAAATTGTTAATAAGTTTACTAAGTTGATTGTGCAATACAGTTGAAGTACACGTAAAGACTTTCGATTATAAATATTTGTAATAATATTAATCCCTAAATAACCTTAGTTATAATCATATTTTGATTGATTTTTTTTCTAAATGAAAGGTTGAAGTATTTTTTCAATTAATAAATTAGCAAAAGCAAAAAAAAAGCAGAGAAAAAACGTTAACTTCGGTTGCACTGAAGCTGTATTACTCTTCACAAATACAAAAGGTTCTTCAGAAGAACTTGATTTCGATCTTTCAGTTTATATGGCAGATATATGCTATAGTGATTCAATCTAACCTTTCTTTCAATTTCATCGGATATTGTATCATTGCCTTAGGTAATAAACCCGTGCAAATTTCGTGAAGATATCTCGTCAAAGAAAGATTTTTTTCATACAAGCACTTGATTTCGATTGTTGAGTTTGTATGGCTGCCATATGCTATAGTGTTCCGATATCAGCCGTTCCGACTAATGAGCAGTTTTTGGTGAAAAAAGGTGCAAAATTTCATATCGATATCTCAAAAATGTTTCCTTTTTGGTGTTACAAATTTCGTGGCAAACTAATATACTAGTACCGTGTTCAGGGTAAAATTATTGAAATATTTTAAATTAATTATATAAAGACTTTTATTTGTTTTGAAATCATTTTTAATAAGACTTTAAAATATTGAAAAACTGTTAAGTAATTGCCCAACTGACGATACTTGAAACTAGAATATGGCTGAAATTGGTATGAATTCACTGTAAAGTGGGCGTCTGAACTAATTTCTCTTAGCATGGTACATCTCGTCGCCATGGTAAGTGCTCCTAATGGACAGTGTGCATTAGGCCCATACACGGTGCCGCTATATATATTTTCGGATGCTTTTTGCCAAAGCTGTTTAGCGAAAGACGAGATGGATTCATAGGCACTTTCTTCTCTACTGCCTAGCGAAGTGACTGCGATTGATTTTAACGCCTTAACAAATTTGTGGTAAACTCAAAACGCTTCGTTGATTTATGCAAATCTGCTGATTTATTTTTAAGAGTTTTTATTTAACACACAGGAACAAAATTGACAACTTTTCAAGTGAGATTCAGCGCTACTATTGGTGCGAGTATTAACCCTACGTTCTAGCATAAGCTAAGCACTAGTATAACACTATCGAAAAAATCTTTCTGTTGTATGCAAGAATTTTTTAAGGTTTTAAATTGTACTTAAAACTGTCTCATCTTCAGTTGAATCACCAAAAAAAAAAATCTAATGGAAGCAAAATTCACTCTCTACTCAGTTTGATGAATGATATGCAATCATATTGTAATTTGTAAGATTCTGAAACTTTAAAACAATTCGTTGAATGAACTCCACGAGATGCTCGTTATGTAACAGTCATTAGTCTCAAGTAATTTTAATCATTAATCTGACTTTTTATTAGTTTTGTAGTACTGGATCAGCAATGACGAGAAGCTAGTTGGTTTAAAAAAAAATGCGAGAAATTAGTTAATCTGACTTTGAGTAGATCGTAGTCATTAGATAATGACAGTTTTGACTTAACAGCCAGAAATCATTAAATACTATACAGAACGCAATAGTCAATTATTTAATGGACAGCAGGATAGAAATTATGCGTTAGGAGCTTCGAAAACAGCGTAGTCAGTACGCAGTAATCAGAAATTTCTATGCCGTATTAGTTAATGAGTGGTTAATACAATAGTTTGGCATAAGAACTGAGTAGTAAATTGTAGTGAATATTTAGCAGACAAAAATCAGTTGTCACTAGAAATGAAATCAATGGAGAGTTGAGAGCAGTATCGAATCAAAAACAACATTAAAAAAGTATAAATGAGAGGCAATTGGAGGTTTTTCAAAACTTAAACAAACCGAACCAATGAAAAATTTTCGGAACATGTTTTTTGTGAAAGAAATATAATTATTAAAATATTATTAAAAAGTTGGGATCCTATTCAGGCTTCGGAACGTTACTATGCGTATTTCTAAATATTTTACGACACGGGCCACATCAAATATATTTGTCGAAAAAAATGGCAGAAAATCAAAATCTCGTTTTGGAATACCATATTAGGTCACCCTTAATATAAAATAACGTTATATAACTTTTCAGAAATTTATAGGAGAAGGAAAAAACGAGATATAAGTATATTAAAAACTACTCATATTGAAACAATATTTGAATTCTGTTTATAACTAGGTTATAACTAATAACAGACACATAAAATTTCGTGTTCGTTTTTCATAGAGAATCGTAACCGGCGAAAAACTGAATTTCGACATGTTTTATGATGCATTTGATTTCTTTTAATGTACATTTTAGGTAACACATTAAGGTAGGCCGAAAGCTAATCTGTCGAATAATTGGATTAAAATTAACCTAAATAATGAAAATAATATCCCTGCAAGGCGGGATTCCTGTATTTCTTCTTTACATATACGTAGGTTCATTTCAGCACAGAAATTCCATTCCTTTGGTTATTCGGCGCACTTGAATGTACATAAAAATACAAGTTAGCATATTATATAATGCAATTGTGCAATTTATTGATTTAAAATTTTATATCGATTTGCGAATTTCCAAAAATTTTTCACAACTTAAAATCTTTGACTAGTTCTATAACTCTATTCTGTATTCATCTATAATAATTATAGTAATTGTTGGGTTTTTGAATTTTTGACAATTTGATGCAGAAAGGCTTCTTCTCTAGCAAATATGTTAGCCTTTTTCTGTGGTCCTCATGGAGATCGGCTACCTGATCAAGGTTAATTTCTCCAAAATAAATCACCGATTTTGAAAATATATTAAATTCTGTTAATGTACATTTTTTATTTATTTAACAAATTTAATGTTTCAACAAAAATTAAGAAAAAAATCAAGTTTTCTAAGGCCTTAAGTGAGCATAACAGCTATGCAGAACAGAACTAATTGAGGCGAATATTTCGCCTATTTTTTATTTATAATATAATTTAAAATGCATTTAATTAGTTATTTTACACAAATTTAATATAATTATAAAATATTTAATCAAAAAATTCAATTAAGAATTCTTAATTAATATAAATACAGCAACGTTTGAGAACAATTTTCGCAACAATACAATTGTGGCAAAATTATCAATTAATAACGGTAATTTTATGCACCCACACAAGTCACATGTACAAATTTAATATATATATAGATGTGTATGAGAGCGCATAAAGCCAATAACAATTGACAATGCGACGCGGCCTACTCACAATTAACACCTTTAAATCCCACTACAAAGCTTATAAGGGCAATTACTATCAGTGCTTGACAATCGAATGGCATACTAGACATTTATAAATATACAAACGTACATATATAAATAGCCAGACAGTATAAAAACGCACCTTCCCGCACCATACACTCGTGTGTGTGTGTGTGTGTGTAAGAGCTTACGCCGTCGCCTGTAACAATAAAAAATTATTCTAAATGGTAAAAAATGCTTCCGCACGTACACGGCCATATAAAAATCCATACAGTACCCCGCCCACCTGCGCCAATTTCGCAACGCCCAACACCCTTACACCTGCACAAACAAATGTACGCCATAATTAATTGGAACTGCTCGCTTATGAGGGTGCTAGCGGTGTTAGCGGGCGCTTCTTCGCACGCTCCCATGCAGGCTTGCTCGCTCTCATTCTCACTCATTTCGCGCAAATTGCCAATTTAAATTGGCCACATTAAATTAGTCGAGTTATCAGCCTCCATGCGGACGGAGTGTTTAAGAGCGAAACGTTGCCAAAGGTGCTGCACTCGTGCGCTCGTATGACAGGTAACAATGCTGCGTGGCCCGGAAAGAAAATAAAGGTGTTAAATGGTATAACAAAAACAAAATTAACGCTGTGATTTGGAGGTGAATTCGCGCTTCCGGTGCGCTTGCAGATGTTCAAACTGTTCGACTCGTGTATATTAGAGAAAACTAAGTGATTTAGTGGGGATTTTCTGAGTATTTGATAATTATAAAAGCAAGAAAATAAAGCCGTTGATTTTAGAAATTTTTTTATTCAAAAAAAGTTGATTAAAAGAGTAAAAAAAAATTTTTATTTTATTTTTAATTTAAAAAAAGTTTAATTTTTGTCAATATTTTGAGTTCAAAAATTGTATGATATTATAAAAAATTATAATATTATATTCCACCTAAAAAAAAATATATATACACATATATGCTACCCAATCATTTATAATATATTTAACTAAAAAAAGTATTTTGTATAACAAAAATAAAAATATTAAAAACTAATTGAAAAATTTATGTGATTTCATAATTCTGAAACTACTTTCAAATACTTATGCAAACTAAAATATTTCGCTGCCAAAGTTTACTTACAAAGTATGAAAGTTATCTTCCAAAGTGCCATAAGAAAATTACAACTGTATATGCCTAGGTGTATACTGTTCGATAAGAATTACTATGTTAGTGCCCAAATATGAATATTTTACTTATCAGCACAAGCTTGCGGGTGATTAGGTAATACAAAAATATTCAAAAGCAAAGTGCAAAGAAATTTTAAAAAATAGAAACTCACTCAACCGTTCAAAAAGCGTAAAAAGCAATTACTAGAGAAGCAGCTAACAAAAGCAAACAACTGAGTAAACGAAAATGTTTAAGCCAATATTTACAAGCAAAACAAATGCAAATAAAAATTTAAAAATATATACAAAATACTAAGAAAATGTATAATTAAAAAATTATAACAAAAATGAAAAATATTTATAAAAAAAATAACAATAAATTAATAAAAAAATTTAACATACATCAATAATTCAATTAAATTTAAGAGAAATTTACAAAAAAAATAATATTAGTTTAACTAAAATATTAAAATTTAACAAAAATCAATCATAAAATTAATTTAATATATATTTGAAACAGCAAAACCAGCACGCCAGAAAAATTTTTATAAAAAATTTAATTTTTTAAATAATTTAACACTACAAATTAATGTAATTTATAAATATCAAAAAAATTATTTAAAAATTTATTTTTAAAAATTTCAAATAATTGTTGAAACTTGAAAATTCTTTTTTTATTATAGCAAAAAAATGTGTATAAAAAAAAGATATTTTTTAATTTCAAAAAATTAATTTTAAAAAATAATTAACAAAAAAATATGTAATTTTAATTATATAATTAATCTAACCATACAAATTTTATAACAAAAAAATTAAAAGACCAAAAATTAATTTAAAAAAAAAATTTAATTAATTATTGTATTAAAAAACTAATTAAAAAATATTTTCATAATAAAAAATTTATTTAAAAAATATATTTTTATAAAAAAAAGTTTTTTTAAATTAATTTTTTGGCATTTAAAATTTCTCTTTTTTTATTCTAATACAATTTTTTTTGCTTTAATAAAACAAAAAATTAAACATAAAATTAATTAATTTGCAATAATAGAGAATTATAAAAATTAAAAAATTAAATTCGAGTACAAAAAATCGTATAATGAAAATCCCACCAAAATATTCAGTAGCTCCAATGTATTTAATGAATAGTCTATATGAGAATCGCACCAATAGTCCATAATAAGTTCACGTAATATATCGTAAGAACTAATCTGATTGTAAATTAAAGCACCGAATTAGGCAAATAAATATAATAAGTGAAATCTCATATCACCTTGACTCATAAATAATAAGCAAACATAATGGAGATAAGATAAAACGCGCTGAAAATGAAACTAATACTAATCTGGCTAATGTTCTATGCGCTATTGGTAATTAAGTCTACAAGGAAATATAAATGTGCATATACATACAAGTATATAGATTTGGAGCATATGTATATATGACTATACTTAACTGTATAAATAGAGATAGTGAAGACGAAAGTGTACATGGCGAACAATTACAAGTTCAAGTTATAACGGACGTCAAACGTGCAGCACATTTGCATAAAAATTAAATAATGACATCATTTCGAAATATAAAATTTCCAAGTTACAAAGAATATTTTATGAATTAAAAATCACGAAATAAATTCATTTGTCGTGTATTATAAGTCATGATTATTTAGTCGTAAGTCGCAGATTTCAAATACAAGTCACAACTCATTAAACAATAGCTAATTTGAAACTTCAATATTATTATGAAGCCAAGTGAGTTAACAAAAGTCATAAGTCATAAATCAAATGTTATAACTCATTAGTCGAAAGTCAGAAATCTCTAAATATGAATCACACTTAATTAAACAATAGCTTATTTGAGATTTCTGTATTTAATATCAAGCTATAAATCGTGGTGGTGTATGAACAATCATAATTTAAAAGTTGTAAGCTATATCATAATTCCAAACCGGAAAGTTATTGTAAAAAAGATTACAAGATTTTTAGTCAAGTTTTAAGACTTACTGCTATTATTCAATATATTCTAATTTAACATAATAATTCAATTAGACAACAATATACAAATATTATGAGTTATATGCAAGAAATTTTTAATAAAAAATTAATTAACTATTAATAATTAATCCTTAATCATTAATCATTAATCATCAAACATTAATTATTTATCATTTATCATTAGTCATTAATCATTAGCCAATAATCATTAATCATTAACCATTAACCATTAATCCAAACTTATTAATCAGTAACTGACATTAGTCACGACTTAATATTAATAATTCAATAGTCAGCAAAATAAATTAACTCAACGACTTAATTCAAAGTACTGAAACAAATGGATGAAATCGGAGTTTTTCCAACAATAACAAAAAATACTGCTTTAAAGTAGTTGAAATCAAAGAAAAAGCCGATAAAAAGTGTCGACAAATAAAGTAAGAAACGCACACATAGAATCATGGCATGCTTTCCCCGCAAGTTGCGCATATTCAATCGCACGACAGCCAGCTTTACGCCAGCGGAAGATGAAAATACAGACACCTTGCTGAACAATGCCGCAAATCCAGTGGTGAGTAAAAAAGCAAATACCGAAACAAATTTATCTCAACACATATATACATACTTGTAGTATCTAGGCAATACCAAGCAATAATATATAAACCAGATAAACTAATCAGGTGTGTAATGTAACAGGAAAGCATAGTGAGTAATAGTATTTGCAATCAATTGTAGGTAAATACAAACATAGTAGGCAAAACAAAAGGCTTCCGAAATTAGCGATCAGTGTTAAACAATAACAGTAGTCAAATATTTCCCACAGGGTAGCTATGTCGCTACTTGGTACAAAAATTAATGTTTGAACGCTAATTAGTTCGACGACTGCGATGCCAGCTGATAACAGCATATTTAACCGTTACTGTTAATTGATAAGCCAATTTAACATGTAGTTTTGTAATATTATAGAAAGGCTTATATTTACCGTTGTAAATACCGCACACGTTAAATACGTTCTATTCGTTTGCTCAGCTATTATCATAACTCATTGGTTTATTTAATGGTTGTCGATAACTTGCTGATACAAATTATAGCTCGCTCGATGACGTTGCAGTCAACAAAGCACTAAAGTGGTAAAGTGTGTGTACAAATATTATTGTTGATAATTAATCTTATCGCACATATATTTCAATCACGCTTACGATTTTAAATCGAGTTACAAAGGTTTGAGGCTAATTTAATTGAAGACCTTGGTTTAGAAGCGGTAAATATTGGAATATATAATTTAACGATGAAAATTTTTTTTAATATTTGCATAACAGAAAGCCCTATTTATTTAATTAAAAAAAACTGTATCTTCTTTTTCCACTTTTTCCTTTAATATACCTTCTATTGGCGAAATGTCTGCGAAATAAGTCCTTTAACATAATAACTAACTATGTTAACAGATTGCCTGAAAACCGATAAATTTATTATGTTCCAAAAATTCTAGAGATTTGAGATTTGAAAACAGACAAAAACCGCTGGAGACCAAAAAATGCGGAGAATATAGTGGATACGAAAACAAATAGCAGAAAATTGTCACAGTTTTCATTAATTTCAAACGCGGTGCATCTGGCTTGTAAGCTCATGCCACTCACACTTGCCGCAGAGCTTTCAAATGCTCAAATATTCTTGAACGATTTGTACTACACTTTCCTCTGTATATCAAAATATTTTTCAAGTTGGCTATCTCGATCAATCACATTTTACGCTCATACCTAAATAATTTCTGAGGAAGTTAAAATAAAACGGTTTGGAATCTTGCAGATTTCTCCTTAAAAAATCTATGTTTAGTTTTGAGTGCGTGTAATTATTTTTTTATATATTCGCAAGCAACGCTTTTTTGGGACATGTCAATGGCTTACGTAATCCCTTTTTTATACCTTCGGATATCAAAATTTTCATCACATTTAAATATATATATTATTGTAACTCTTCCGCCTGCCTTACTACCTTCATAGCAACTTTTTTAGGTCAACTATACATATGTCAATCTTGAGCTATTAATTCCAATTATCATTTTTCAATATTCATTTTTATTCTTCAAAATGATTTCCTATTTGCTTGTGACTGATTTCTATTATAAATGAAACTAAATTAGTCTAAACTTTCTGCCAAGAAACTCTATTCATAGCAATTTATTTATTTTAAACTCATAACAGGACAATTGCGAAGTATTGGGTATCAGTTAGCTATCTATTTGAATGAATTTAAGCTGCAGGAAGAACTGATCGAAAGCAGGATTGTTTCTAATTAAAAAATGTTCCCTAAAAAAATTTCTTTTCAGATTTTGCAATTAAAAAATATTATTAATTTTTGGTACTAATAATTTAAATTAAAAATTGAAAATTTAATTTTTAATCACAAAATTAGAATTTAAGGCTATAGTTTCTAATTAAAAAATTGCAGTAACAAATAAATTTTCTTGGCTATAATTAAAAATAATTACATGTAAAGAAGACAAAGAGTTTGAAATATATTGCAATTTTAATAAAAATAAGCTTTCTCTCACAAAGATAACCAAAATGGTAGAACAAGAAGTAAAAATTTTACTAGATTCGAAAACACATTTTTTTTACTTTTTTATTATAAACTTTGAATTAACTTTTCTTCAAATCAGCTTTTATGTAAATAAATTAAATCATAAATTGCGGTGAACAAAGTTTCTCAAAGGCCATGTGACCTATTGATCCGACTTTTTGCAGGCTTTTTAAAACTGCAATATCTTATACTTGAACGAACGAATTTTCGTTTCAAATGTAAATTTTTTTTTGTTTTCGAGGAAAAAGCCGAATTTAGAAACCTTTAAAAGTCAAACTTTTCAGTCATCATCTTTTGGTAAAATTTTTCTTAACTATTCTTTCTTTCTAAACTATTGCTATATTTGATCGCAGATGTTCCATCGCCTACTTATTATGCTCACCGCAAAGAGTGTAAGAAAAAAGTGAATCAGCTCAACAGTTGTAGTGCCAAAATCAGGGCACATTTTTCACTGAGGAATTAAATTTAAAAACTTCACATATACTTGTATAAATGTAAACGCTGTATTTGATTATTAAAACAAAATCCTCTCTATGCAACAAAATTCTTCAAAAACCCGATATTTTTTTCAGATAATAAGTGTATATAATCCTTTAATTTATTTGGAACGCTGATCAGAAATTTGGGCCATAAATACAGCAGAAAAGATATATTTCAAATTAAAAAATTGATTTTGAGACAGTTTTATGGATATGAGAAAATTTCGTTGTCAGAAATAATCACGTCGTTTAAGCATCTTTGGATATCTTTTTAGTATGCGCTCTACTTCACACAACGAAATGCGATTTAAAAAACTATAGTAAGATTTACATGTTAAGGCATTATGATTAAAACTTATACCTACAAGTATAAGGACTATATATAATATAAGAAGCACTTTAGGCTAATCACCAACACTTTTTAAAATAAATATTATTTACGCAAAACAGCTCGCCAATTTATGAAAAGCTGTTTCCGTTTGAAATAATGAAATTTTGAATATTAGATGTATATTTTATGATAGCAATATTTACTGCGTCTCCAGTATTTCGAACACAAAAATTTAAACTCGCATAAAAGCAGACTGTAATACAAATGAAAACAGCTGTTGGGCATATTTATGTTTTCCGTTTAATATTTTGAACTTTTTATCTAAGCCTCCATGCTATTATTCGCAAAACACTGTGTGTTGACATATTAACGGCTATTTCTTTCAGTACACATGTATCATATATGTATTTACAATAATTTTTTTTTTTTTTTGGCCTTTGCTGGTTAATTAAGTCGCGTTATGCATGCAAGAAAAAAATCTTAAAACACAACAACAAATATTTTTTAAAAAAAGTTAATCGTCAGAAATTTTTTGCATGAAAATGAATTCAAAGCAAAACTATTAATAAATGGCTTATTATATGCGCTTGTCTGCTACACTCGTAAGCGAGTCGATATTTAGCAATGAGCAAGGTTACAACAAATACTGTTAACATTTCCAGCAACAACAAAACATACAGATGTATACTATATTTATAGTAACAAACTGTTTTTAATTGAAAATGCATGCTTATCACTTGAAAATATATGTATGTTTCTGTGTATACAGGTTGGTTGAAAAGTTTCTCTGCTCACCAAGAAATAAGTGGTACAACTGTCGTGAAACCACATGTAAAGTCACAAGTCATTCTGTCAATTAACTCTTCTTTTAGAAGGCATTTAAAGTTGCTTGAAGACGATCCACGCAAAGGACGAACAAAAACCAGACCACAGCATAAATCATTGAGCAATATTTTACACGGAGAATTACATATGAAAAAGCTGTTTGGAAAGTTAGTGCCACACACGTAAACAATTCAATAAAAACTGGATCGAAAACAAATTTCTCAGCATAATTTGGAGCATTTTAAGCAAAATAAAACCGATTTCTTGCATTCTTATTGTAACTATAGATGAAACTTGAATCTACCACCATGATCTGAAATTGAAATAAGAACGTTTACAGTGAACTGAAGCTAGTTGTTCAGCTCCAAAGCAGGTGAAGTCATAAGGATCAGCAAAGAAGGTTATGGCATCAGTTTTTTGGGATGAAAAAGGAATTTTGTTAATTGATTATCTGCAGCAAGGTGAAGCAATCAGCTCTGAATATTATTGCAGCCTTTTGGAACAGCTGGATGAAAAAATTCGTGAGAAAAGACTTGGTATGCAACACAAAAAAAACATTTTTCATCAAGACAATGCACCTGCTCACAAACGTAATGTAATAATGACAAAATTCAACGAATGAAAGTACGAATTGCCTGAGCATCCACCGTATTCAGCAGATTTGGTTTCTAGCGAAAACCTGAAACAATTCTTTCGTAGAAAACCTTTTTCGTCGAATGCAGAAGCTTTACAGCCGTGGACGGGCATTCTACAAAGCTTCCAGAAAGTCATTGTAGAGGTGGCATAAAATTATTGGAGGATCATTGGAATAAGTGTATTGCAGTTAAGGAAGATTATATTGAATAAAAAAATATATATTTCGTACCAAACACAGTATTGCTAAATTTCGAGCGCAGACATTTTTCAACCAACCTCTATGTGTGTGATTGTGTGCGCTCATAACGGAAGCCGACAAAACGCGCCACACAGGTGCTGTTTTGTATATACACGTTTGTTTGTATGCAAGTAAGTCTGGCCAGATATCAACATTGGAAACAACAACAACATTTACTCGGCAAGCAGGCGAATGAAGGCAATAAAACTGTGCAAATACTCAGATCTGTTTATTTGTTAGCTATATTATTGTTGTTTTTTTAATTGGCTGTATTGTAAGTCATTTAACGGTACGGTGATAAAAACGCGCTGAGATGCCACAGATGTAGCTATGTGTACAGTTATTATTCTCTGTGAAAATGCGTAAAAAAATTCTACAACAACATGGGAACTTTATTCAAATACATTTTTATTAAACGAAACAACAAATAAATTTAATGCTTTCAACTACCTCAGATGTTTCAAAGTTGGAAGTATTATTTG